TTCAAGTGGAAAAGGACACTGTAAAGCTTACAATGACAATGCAAAATAGTTATCGGCAATCGAAAAAGTCGATAATAAAAATAAATGCAAGTCCTATTGATGTGCTTTTTCTTGGGGTGGTGATTTTTTTCAGCTCCAGTTCTCTCAACCAGATGCTCGGTTAATAATAAATCACATATATAAGAGAATTTCATGCTGTGAGGAAGAAAAAAATCTAAATAGACAGAGAGAGAGAGAGAGAGAGAGAGAGAGAGAGAGAGAGAGAGAGAGAGAGAGAGAGAGAGAGAGAGAGAGAGAGAGAGAGAGAGAGAGAGAGAGAGAGAGAGTGAGTGAGTGAGTGAGTGAGTGAGTGAGTGAGTGAGTGAGTGAGTGAGTGTGAGTGAGTGAGTGTGAGTGAGTGAGTGAGTGAGTGAGTGAGAGTGAGAGTGAGAGTGAGTGTACTCACTTCTTCAATAGTGTGCATGTATTCAACAACAGTAGGTGAATTATGAACTTTCTCATAAACCTTAAAAGTCATACCTTTTTGCAACTATCATTAATGAATGGTAATTAGGTAAACAGCACCAAGGCAATTATTTCTTCTTTAATTTGAAGACCCTCATGTCAGGTGTCATGGAATTACATTAATAGGGGATAATTAACATGTTTCATTTCCTTGCCAAAACTACCATGCCTATTACCCATCCCCTTTGTTCTTTCCCTTCTTCATTCTCTCTCTCCTTCTCTTTCCTGTCTGCTGTGAACCACTGTCACAATTACCTTCCTTGTTCTTCCTGACGAAGAGTGACTGAAGGGAAGCTAAGAAGAGGCCGAAAGAGAAAGAAGATAAGAGAAAGATATGGAGGAGGAGGATAAGAAAAAGATGGAGGAAAGAGACAGAATGGAAAGAACTGGGGGAAAAGGAAGAAAGTGAGAAAAAAAGGAAAACTAATAACACACTGAATTAGTTATTGCTTTCTGACCGAATCATGCTATTCATGAGTATAACCATTAATAGATGATTTTATTATTATAAATGTTTTCCCTGTCCATATGCCTCACATAACAAACAGAAACACATTTTCAATTTACTCGTTCAAAGATAAAAAGAAGGCAAAAGTAGCAAAAGGTGAAAAAACATTTTGAAATGGAGTTTCCTTTTTAGTATAACTGCACAGCCTAGATTGTTTTTTGTTCAAATACACATTAGAGGGACATGGACTCTTCTTAGGAACTAGTGATTTAACCCCCCAAAAGACACTGGACACTATATTTAGGACAAGAGAAATCGTACAGTACCTAATGCTCACTGGATGCCGGAAAAGTCAAGTCAAGTCTCAATGTATCCTTTTATCTTTCTTTCAAAAATACAAATAGCTATTTTGTGGAAATTGAATCAGAGAAAGTGGCACCACCACTACCAGTCTCAGCTTACAAGATGGCATGCTTTTTAAGGGTTAAAACAAGAATTTCTATTCAGAGAATCTTTGTAAAGTTTACTTAAAGCTGAAATATATAACAAAGAAAAAACCTAAGTCTACCTGCTTGTATTTCCTTTTTTTTTTTTAATTAACAAATAATTAGCATCTCTGCCAGCACTTTTTTTTCAGCTGACCTAGCATGGCCTCAATAAACAATATCCTGCAACAGCACCTATAATTCCAGTTTTACATAAACTGTATCACTGCCATCACAGTACAGTAATAATTTTACTAGTGTATCACAGTATTAGATGGGTGCCATCTCTAATATATTCTATGGACTTTTCACATTCAAGTGTAATAAAATAGTTTTTTTCAGACGCAATTTTTTTTTTAAACTTTGATTGAGAATGTCCATCTTCAAATAATTCTCACTGGAGCTCCTCATTTTCATGGGTTACAGATATAATGGCAGCATAATGTTTGCATCACATGACCCCAGCTACAATGACACAGGTGAGGAGTGTAGTGCCAGAGGATTTCAGATCTAATAACAGCATTAGGGGTGGTTCCAAATTTTCAACATTTTCACGTGTATACAAAGCACATGCTCGGGGGAGGGGGTTAATGCTTTTTAAATGCTTTTTAAATCCTATGAAAATGATGATGTCACCTCATATCGAGCACTTAGTATTCGTGGCTGAATACCAATTAAACAATGTAACCTTGCCTTCATGACCCGATTTCTATAAACGGCCAATAAATTCATTCATGTTGCAAGTTAGTATATCTAATAGTTTGTATGAAATATTTCTCAGACTTATTGGTTTCTGATACTTGTCCCAATCAAGTGCAAATGACCCCTAATTATGAAAATGATCCTCTATTAGGTATATAGGGTGTAGTATGACTATCAGGAACAATTCATAGGACTACCCTGTCTGCTTGAGGGAACATCTAGCAGCAACATTTTCAGTTATACGTTTTTAGGGGGGAGGGGAGTCAGCAAAAAGAGTGCTCTCTTTGTATGCTTGTAAAAAAGTTGAAAATGACAAACCACCCCTTTAGTATATGAGCAGTACTTGCAATTTTTTCATTAATCATATATATAGGTTGAAAAAAAGAAAATCAGAAACACTAATTCCATTTTTTTCTTTGTTCATATACATGATACATTTCTTTAAAGAAAAAAGACAAAAAACAAACATCAAATAAAAAATAAATAAATAAAAATCTGTAAAATTAATATTCCAAACATATTTTACATACCAAGCATTCATACTTATACCAAGGAAATAAAACTCTTCTTAAGAAAAAAAAAATTGTGTATTGGGTGATAATTTTCCAGCTTCCGGGGAGATGAGGGAAGGGACACAGCCTCAAGAAACTGCAACCAGTTTGCTCTTTCCACTTTTCTCTTGCTTGGTAACCATTGCTCTTTGGTCTCTCCCTGGAAATAAAAAGTAATTTGTGTGTAACTATAAATGGTACTTAAATTTTCTCTCACCGGAAATAAAAAGTAATTTGTGTGTAACTATAAATGGTACTTAAATTTTATCTTCTGTTAAAGAACAGAAGAAAAATAAAAAGTGAAATGGAAATAAATTGGATCACAATAGTATAAACTGTATTAGAATAGGAAAGAAAATTTTCCAAAACAATAACAAAAACACCATCACAGTAATAACAACTGTCATAGCAATAGAAACTGACCTGACATTCTTTTGACATTTTTACCGAACAGGGCATTTTCTCGGAACGAAGCAGCGCGCTTTGCCAAGGTCAGGGATTTCTTGGTTTCGCTTTTCACAGCTCGGACTTGGACGCCGCGCTCTAAGGGTATTATCAGATCTGAAAGACAAAATAATTTAACAAATTAAATAATAAAAAAGCAAAATGTAAAAGATTCTTACTCCTAATCATAAAGATAAATAAGAAAAAAAAGAAAGAGGAGGGGAGAGGAAGGGAGGAGGAGGAGATGAAGGAAGAAGAGAAGAAGTGGTGGAGGAGGAGATGAAGGAGGAAGAGAAGGAGGAGGAGAAGGAGGAGGAGGAGGAGGAGGAGGAGGAGGAGGAGGAGGAAGAGGAAGAAGAAGAAGAGCATGAGCAACAACATCAACAAAACACACCATTGAGGTGGAATACTTCCCATTTCTAAAAGCCAGTCACCAACTAAAGACAAACAATTAGAATTAGAATTAGGAAGTGGAGTTCACAGAAAATAAAGTCACAATGGGACTCTGTTTTCCCCACATGTCCCTCTTTTTTCATCACAAAAACAGTTTAGATTTACAATTAAATGTTTTCTTTCCAAGCTTCAAAGAAAAGCAAAGAATGTCAAAAATAACAAAACATGAAGAAAAAATAAATCGCTCCTGAAATATTTTATATCTACAGACTACAAATAACATGATCAAATACATTATTTCTGAATTCAGAAAAGAATAGAAAAGAACAGAGAGAGAGAAAAAAAAGAAGAAAAATTAAAAAATAAAAATAAAAGAAAAACAATAAAAAAATAAAAAGGCTATAGCAAAATTTAGTGAACATATTATAGATAATAAGAAATTGATGACCTTCATATAGAAAGAACTTGGTTTTCTTTTATACTATAATATAATCACTTTGCACATACAAACACATACTGGAGAAAAACACATGGAACCAATCCCAGATGACCCACCCACCCACATTTGTGAGGAGTGCACAGCCTGCAGTCAATATATGACACATGACATCACATCCTTCAAAGGGATATGTAGTGACATAGCAAGAGTGCCTGCCATTGTGATAAATGTAGAAAAGGTATGAATGAGAATGAATATCTTCACACTAAAAGAGATGTATTTAACAGGTTTCAAATAAATCAATGGAGTACACTAACTCTTTCTTTCAATACCTGATTCAAAAGAATAAGTTATAGAGAAATTACAACTTACTTGATTTTTTATTTATTTATTTATTTATTTATTTTTTATTTATCTTTTATTTTTCATCTTGCTTAATATTTTGTTTGAACAAATATTCATATGAAGAAAACCAGTAAAATTTTACATTGTTAATTTCTGGAAAATACACCAACTTTGATGAAAGCGACTCCAAATAAAAAGGAGACTGGAAAAATCTGTTCTTGCAAGC